GTTTAGCTGATTCCTAGAGCCATTTAGTCTTTTCTGTTGCAAGTTTTTTGCTTCAGACCTCGTGGTACCAGCGCTGGGGTAAGGGTGCTGAATTATGCTTAAAGTGGGAAGACCAAGGCGACACTTCGACCCGGGCCGAAAGACGCGTAGATTGTTTGTGGTCTCACCTACCGTCGCGTTTGGCCTATCTGCCGCTGGCCCGTTTGGTCCATCTGGCCCAGCTCTCAGCAACCCTTTTATGGTAGCATTCGGGTAGACAGTCCTTCGTTGCAGTCAGGTGTGACCCGGACTATGGAGAGCGTGTTCGCGGAATGGGAATTTTCACGTGATAGTGTCCAGTAGAACCAGTACGCTAGGAATGTGTCATAAAGTTTTCGGTTGTACTGCTGTTTGCGATCTTGTGCATTAGTGAAGTGGTAAGCAGCTGCTTCACCCACTGCGCTATCTGCCAACCTCCCTGGAACAGTGGCCTCGTTCGACACCATGTTCCCAATGACTACGTAGTAGTTGTATTTCTCTACCTTGGTGAAAAGAGTCCATTAAAGCAGTAAAACTGGGGCTCTGCAATTCTTGTGATAATTACTGCCTAGGTTTTAACTTCGGTGCTGCATTGAACTAGTCAAATATTGGTCTTCACTGAGTTGACGGTTTTTTTGACCCTTTGCGTCTTGCTCAATGTTGCCAAACTTGTTTCAGTTCAGGAAAAACTACCCTAAACTACGAACTGCTTTGTAAAGAACGCTTTTGTGATCATGTGAGTAGATATGATTTCCCATGATGATGAGTGATAAGATATGGAAGGTTACCACTGGCAGAAACTTTCGGAAGTGATGCTTCTGCAAAGGTCGAAATTAGGATCAATTTGGGACGCACTTTCTGTTGAAAAAAACTTCTAGTCCAATACCAATCCGCAGCTTGCTCTGGCTGCCTTTGATTTTTCAAAAGTTCTATGAAGGGAGTAACTTAAAGGCACAGTTCTCGGGGGCCCTTCTTTAAGTTGAAAAGCGGAAATAATGACGGAGAGTATCCATCGGTAGCGAGGAAGGCGAAAAAACTCGCCGACTTCGTTAAAAACAAGGTTTCCTAAATGTAGCTAAAATCGGAGTTGTACGAGGTTATCATGACGGAAATGGCATGGAAGGTTTATTTGGACGAGATTTCAGTTGTTGCGTTTCTGGAAAGAGCTGATTACATAGTCAAAACTGTCCACAACTGACTTTCACTCCCTTTGTCGCCATGGAGTAATATTTCCAACATTGGTGTCTCTTTTGTATTGTTCACCACTACAATGTCGTTGAAACTCGTCTACCATTGGGTATGGCAATCAGCCAATACAAACTATAAGAACTTTTAGAGCTCTGTTTGGGCCTGCACTACGAGGATTTCTCAGAAACCATTTTTTAGAGTAAAATATGGGGACAAGTTACTCAATCTAGATAGTCTCCTACAATCAGAACCTACTTACCTCAATGCCTTCCTAGATTCTCTTTATATTGCAATTTTAATTTTGTTAGTAAAAAAAACTACATATCTTGATGATGTAAATTCTGATCATTAATATCCATATTTTAGTTTGATTATAATCTGGAATCAAAAGAATTTTGGTAGTTTGAAGTATTATTGAGGTGAAATTTCCTGAGTCTAAGAAAAAGACGGTAGGAGAGCAAATCCGATGGGCCCAAAAGGATTCATCGGCGATTGCCGGTGATTCTGCAGAGACCACCTTATAAGATGAACACACGATGACGTGTATGGTCGCAAAGCGACCAAGTGGAAAAAAATTGGACGAACGACACAGGCGGTTCAATAAGATGGAAATCTTTTTCCAAGTACACTGGCCAACAAAGAGCGTTCAACGGCAGAGCTCGTTGTGCCAGTGATTGTGAACGTCTCGTACACGTGCTCTCCTCGTTACTCATTTCTTCCCAGAACGGCACCAACCAGTTCTTCATGAAACCAATGGACACAGCAGAAAAAAACACGTCTATTTTGATGAAGAGTTTGGGAAAGAGAAAAAAAGTTTAAAGAGTTCGAATTCCAGCCAGCAATTCGTTGAATAATCCGTATGAAAGCAATGATTCGCCTCAATAGAGCAGAATAGGGAGAGACGGTTGGGGTTCCCTATGTCATGGGTGACCAGGATATTTGTGGGTATTTTCATGACCACGCCCTCCCACAGTTCTCTGATCTAAGAGTACTTTTTTGAGAAGAACTTAATTCATCAGGGATGCAAAATTAATGACAAAGATCAGATTTTGTGTGATGTAAAGACTTTGCACTTACAAGCGTGATGTCTTCTCTTCTACCGGAAAGTGACAGGGTCAAGCAGAGATGCCTTAGATGTAAAAGGAAGTGCTGAGCAGATCAGATTCGAATTGAAGAGAAGGAAGGAAAGTCAAGCTTTTTTCGTGCAAACTTGGATAAATTTTCCCTCCCATAAAATTTACCGACTCAACGGTTGGACTTCCCAAATCGTTGAGGGGACAGCATTCAAATGTAGCGTCCATTTCAAATGAGCATCAAATGCGTGGCGCATCCGAGTACGGTATTGATTAACGTTAAAAGCTCGTTCTCTTCTCACCTGCTGTTCCCTGTAGAATTTTTTTGAGAGTATTAGAGGTGAAATGAATCGCAGTATGTTGTCGATGTGCCACTTATTTTGGAAATCGTGGTCAGAAAAAAACTTGCTCTTGTCTATTTGCAAGTTGGTCCGACTTTTAGCCTTCGGGCCTATAATGTTGGCGATTACTAGTTAGTTGTCTCAGATGCACCCACGTCCTAGTTAGTTGTCTCGTTTTTTATCCACATCATAGTTAATTGTCCCGCTGTATACCCATGTCTTAGTTATTTGTCTCGTGGTGTATCCACGTCTTATTAGTTGTCTCACGGTATGTCTTCATCATAGTTAGTTGCCTCGTTGAGTACCCGTCTTTGCTAGCCGTCTCGTGTTATGCCCATGTCCTAGTTAGATGTCTCACGGTGTATCCACGTTCTAGTGAGTGTCTTGCAACTTTCCATAACTTTCAGGGCTCCCGACTGCCACCCAAATAAGTGTGTAGCCAAAAAAGATGTTGAGGTTAGGGGTATTCGAGCTACGGGCCATTTATAATGCCCAATCATCACTAACCTTCCCCACTATTCACTCTGTTAGATAGAAAAAAAGGCGGAAATAGCAAAGGTGAAACTGATTCATTTCTGAACGTTCTTCGAAATCTTACCAAACCACATTTATCATCGACACTCCTATCAATTATCACTTCAGTATGCAATAGATTAAAAACAAGTTTTTCGGTAAAGAAACATTATGGAATAGACGAGATTGCCGGAGTAGATATTGTGGAAAAATAAAATATCGTCGTTCAATTATTTTAAAAATTAGGAAAGAATTACGAATATTGGCGAAAATTTGAAGAATATATGCTTCCGTGGGATCAATTTGGATTTGTTTGTTTAGCTGTACTACAAGAGAGGCTTTGTTTGTAGATAAAGTTGGACATGGTTGTTGGTACTGTAATAAAGTTTATATTTTTGAATTATACATATTTGCACTTACCCTAAAATTCCACACATAGGAGCGGTTGAACATACCGGTGAAAAATGAATTGGAAAAAATCGAAATTGAATGCAGTCACCCCTCTNAGAGGGGTGACTGCATTCAATTTCGATTTTTCCAATTCATTTTTCACCGGTATGTTCAACCCGCTCCTATGTATGGAATTTTAGGGTACTCTGGAAAGTAAGACATCAATGGTAGGCAACAACCGCAACTTTCTCATCTGTAGTGAGAAATAGAGAGAAGAAAGGCTAGGTGTTCGGCTTTAGCCAATCCTGTTCTGGAATGCGCCCCTCACTTGACTTCCATTCGGAATTGTAGTGGCCTTTTGATTGCGTATAAGGCCAATACTACAATGACTTGCAATGGATAGCCGATGTACAAGTCAGGTTTTCATTCTCCCTGGCGAACCTGGGAGGATAAGAGCATTCCATCCGTACGAGATCGGTTTATAGATGAATGAAGGGACGGAAACTCGAGATTCGATCTTCGGACCGTGCGTGGTGATAGTGCGCAATTTGGCGTTACACCACGTCGGCATAAAATAAGTATAAAAATCGGCAGCAGCCATGTAGATTTGTTTCCTCAATCGGGGTAAATCTAGGTAGTATTCACCTTCCAACAAGATAGACGCAATACAACTGCCGTGGTTAACTTCCTGTTGACCGCTACCCTAGGAGTTCATCAGTTCGAGTCTCTTACAATACTGGCGAGAATTTCATATAAGAAGTACAGTATAAGTACTTTAAATTGAGTTTTAAGAATAGGTTAAACTGGCTTAGACTGAAGGGATGAAATCATTGGAGTCTGACCAAAAGCAGCTAGCCAGCGGTCTGTGAAGGGGAAGAGGAACTGGTAGTCATGATAAATCATTGGCGTCATCCCTCGCCTGCCTCCTTTCCTCGTAATCCATTACAAATCGCTCTATTGTGCTCACTCTGTGGGAGCTGATTTCGACTTAGAAACATATCGATCACGTAGTACATTCCGAGTTTGGCTAAGATCAGCTGATTCGTAAAGGCCAAACCATATATGGGTTGGCAAAGGTCCGAAAAGTTGTCAAAATCAAAAGTGGGAGTTTTCGAAAAAGCAAAGCCTCTGTAAGTGAGTGTCAATACGTCTGTTCATCCCACTTCATAACAAATCCTCTA